TAATAACCCTGACACATGATTTCTGGTAGTCTCTGTCCTTGCTTTATAAAAAAAAAAAAAAAAAAAAAAAAAAAAAACAATGGAGAGTGGCTAATTTCCTGTCCAAAGTCCCTCTTGATGGAAAAATACCCTAACTCCACCACAGCCAGCCTGAATTTTCAGCTGTCTTTTCCCCGGCCACAGGGCTGTCTCTACTCTATTAAGCCCGTAAGTCTTGTGAGTCCCTGAGCGTCTGACTGTTGGAGACAGTGGGAGGGTCTTGATCCTTGACCTGTGCCCTGTGCTGGCTGTAAGCTCTAGGAGGTAGTGGTTACCTCCCCAGCCTATGTCAGCACCTAATAGGTCGTCCTTGTCCTGCCTCCCCTACAGACTTGTTGAGAAGACCAAGTGAAGGAGTGACTGTGAAAGCAACCCTTCCTTCCTCTCCTCCTCTCCCCCTCTCTGCCTCCCTAACACACCCACCCTATGCACCAGGCACTGCGTTAGGCATTGGGTGTATTGCTGTCAACCAGGCAGATTGGGTCCTGCCCCTAGAAGGGGTACACAGGGTAGACCAACACTAGCCAGTAGCGCATTCTGAGAGACAGAAAGAGGACAGCCGCCAGTCACACCTGGTACCGAGCACTAGAACTGGAGCTAGTGAGGGTCTGGATCACTGATTTTATTCGATTGCAATTAGCTCGGATTTAAACAAGCACTTGGGGCTGGTGACTACTATACTTGATGGTCCAGGCCTAGGCATCTAGTGGGTAGGGGAGGCATTAAGATACAACTATGCACCATGGACCAAGGGCTGCTCAATGACAGGCCTCGCAGACAAAGGCGGTCACAAGGGTTGTCACGGCTCTGGAAAGCTCCCATCGCCTGGTGTTTTTACAGAACCAGTGCTCTATTGTTATATAACACACATCTCACTGTGTTACACCTGCCCACAGGATGCAGAACAGAGACATCTGTACAGGTCTGTAGCTGAGAGCAATAGGCTATGCAGAGCAGCCTGTGTGTGGTAGGCTGTCCCATCTGGGTTTATGTAAGTACACTCCACGTCTACACACAGTACAACTGGCTAATCACACCTTTCTCAGAATGTATCTCAACTGTGAATAAGATCAAACACAGGGGTTGGTGCTGTGGCACAGTAGGTTAAGCCGTAGCTTGTGGTGCCGGTTTCCCATGTTGGACAAGAGTGCCAGTTCAAGTCCTGGCTGCTCCACTTCCACCTCCAGCTGCCTGATGATGCTCCCAGGAAAGCAGCAGAAGATGGGCTTGGGCCCAGCCACCCACGTGGGACACCTGGATGGAGTTCCTGGCTCCTGGCTTCAGTCTGGCCCAGCCCACGCTGTTGCAGCCACTTGGAGAGTGAGCCAGTGGATGGAAGATCTCTCTGTCTCTGTCACTCCCTTCCACCCCTGCCATCATTCTGCCTGTCAAATAGATAAATAAATCTCTTTTTTTCAAGATTCATTTATTTATTTGGGAGTCAGAGTTACAGAAAGAGAAAAAGAGAGGGGGAAAGAAAAAGAGAGAGGGAGAGGAAGAGAGAGAGAGAGAGAGAGAGAGAGAGAGGTATCTTCCATCCACTGGTTCACTTCCCAAATGGCCCCATTTTCTGCTGCTTTCCCATGCACATGAGCAGGGAGCTGGATCAGAAGTGGAACAGCCAGGACTCACACTGACAGCCATATGGGATGCCAGTGTCTGAGGCGGTGGCTTTACCTGCTATGCCACAGCGCTGGCTCCTAAATCATTTTTTAAAAGCAAAACACAGAATTACCCTGTGATTCAGCAATTCACTTCTGGGTACAGCTCCCAAAACCGAAAGTAAATATTCAGGCAAATAACTCGCACACAAATGCTCACAGCAGCGAAAGGCTGAAACAACCCAAGTGCCAGTGAATGGGCTAGGGAATGTGACACAGCCACACAATGGTGCCACATGGGCAGCTTGGCTTTCCTCACTATTCTCAGTTCTGTGCAGAGGGCCAACAGGCAGAGGGGCTGGGGTGGCCAGATGGGCAGCAGGCCGGAGTGACGGCCAAGTGTCCCCTGCCACCTGAATGGTGCTTCACGCTTGATAAAAAGCTTCCACTGATTTCTCGTTAGATTTGCACAACCACCTGTGGATCAGCCAGGCCAGTGGGCCCCCTCCTCACCTCACAAGATGAGTCCCAGAGACACAGGGTCATCCATCGAGAGCTAGGACCCCCCCCCGCACCTGCACCCCAAACTCAGAGCTATTGCTCGTCTTGATGCCTCCTGGAGCACACCCCCACACCAAGAATCCCTCTGCTCTCAGAGAGCACTTTTCCTGAATGCCAGAGAGGGGGTGGCAGGGTCACGGGGGTTTCCCATGTGAACAAGCTGTCCTTGGCCTTGGAAAGACAAGACGATAAAGTCTGCTGGACGGAACCAGCATGGGGAATCCCAGGTTGGCCAGGCCTACCCCTGGTCCCCAGTGGCCCTGCTCCCACTTCCCTGGGTGCCTGCCAAGGGTCTCAGCGGCGCCACTGGTGCTGAACTCTGGGAGAGGTCCCGGGCTGGCTGCAGAGAGCTGAGCCAATCCCCATGGCTGCCAAGCTGCCCAGGGACACACAGCGGGTCCTCTCAAAGTTGCTGGGGTCTGGAAGGTCAAGGCAGAGAGCAGCAGAGGGAGGCCAGATACTGCCCTTGACCTGAGCTAGCCCTGGCTTGCCCCAGATCCCCTGAGGTGGACCCTACAACTGGACCTTTGCCCTTGGCTCTCACCTGGCACAGAAAGTGCCAACCTGGAAGCAGCACTGTTTGCCTATCTGGACATCCTCTAAATTTGCCTCATGCAGCTGCAGGGGTCAGAGGTGAGAGGTCGTGGGTCAGATCCCCTAGACACAGGGCCCACAGGTCCTCTGCTGCAGGGCCCGTGGTCTCCAGGCAGAGTAGCTGCCCTGCCCCCAGCTGACCTTGTGCTCCACCTGCAGCAGCCTTAGGAGCAGGGAGGGGAGGGTGTGGGGAGAGGAGTCATTCGTGACCTGCAAGGTGTCCCCTCCCCCCTCAGCCTCTGCGCCTTCCCCTGAGCAGTGAGGTCCCTGGGCCCCTCCTGTCCCTGGAATTCTCCACCTGGGCATCCACACTCCCCGCTTCCTTCTTGTGATAGGGAGAGAGCCACCCTCCTGGGGTCGGAGGTGGGGGGGCACCAGGCAGGCTTTGCTGCATCACCTGTCAGTGTGCCCACCTCTGGCCCTAAGCCCAGGCCACCGCTCAGTGCCACCACCCACGAATCACACACACCTGCCTGGTCCTGAGGCTTAATGATTAGCACGGCTGGAGGGGTCAACAGCCCCTGGGCCTGCAGGCCAGAGTACTCTTTTTTTTTTTTTAATAGTTTTTTAAATTGATTTATTTGAAAGACAGAGTGATTGATAGAGAGCATTCTTCTATCCACAGGTTCACTCCCCAAATGGCTGCAACAGCCAGGGCAAGTCCAAGCTGAAGTCAGGAGCCTGGAGCTCCATCCAGGTCTCCCACAAGGGTGGCAGGAGCCCAGGTACTTGGGCCATCCTCCACTGCCTTCCCAGGCCCCTTAGCAGGAAGCTGGATTGGAAGCGGAGCAGCAGGGACTGGAATTGGCGTTCCAGTATGGGATGCTGGTGTTGCATAGCTTAGCTCACTGTCCCACAATGCCTGTCCCTAAGAGCCGGGGGCTTATATACAAAGCACTTGCACATGCATTTCTTACATCCAAGTTTGGCGAGAGGCCTCATCTCTGTCTTGGTTGGATAAAGAAACAGAGTAGGAAACAGGCAGCCCAGGAGAGCTCCTCCAGTGCTCAGATCCCCAAGTCCACATGCACGCTCCTTGTCTACACCCCTGGCTGCCAACACCTGTCCTTGGGTCTGTGCTGGGTACACTGGCAATCAAGGACCTTGCTTTCCAAGATGCTGACTCATGAGCACGGCTGGAGGGGGCGGGCCCAGACAAAAGGCTTCTCTCTTCTGCTGCCCTCGAACCTGCTCCAGAACCTGGATCCCAAGATTGCCCTCGTCTCCCAACTTCGGCCATGGTCGGTGGAGTCTCTATGTTCATGCTGGGCCCCGATGCAGAGTCCTAGTCTTTCCTCGTCAGGTGTCACCAAACACCTTAGGTCTCTGTGCTGCTACCTCGAGACCTGCCAAGGTCAGGGTCCTCCTCCCTCAACGTGCTTTCCAGTCACTGCCCCTTGCCTCTTCCCACAGGTGCACACACCTGGGCCTGGGGTACCCTGATGAACCTGCTCCCCTGCCCTATCAGGGCATCACCCTCTGTCTCCACTGTACCTATTGCTCCACAGGAAGGGTGGCTTGTGTGAGCCGCCAACAACCAAAGGCACTGAAGACACCGCACAGATCCTGGAACAGAGGTCTCCAGGTGATCAGGACGCCCACATGGACTTGGGAAATGCTGCCACCTGCCACACTCCACTTCCCTCCCACAGCACTGACCTAGTTTACACAGCTGCCTTCGGTGCCTTGGGCCCTCTCTGCTCCACCTGTCCCCAACATGTGGCACCCAACTGGTTGTCCGTGTTTGGATAGACCTAGCCGTGAAGCATGGGCATTCACACTGCACTCCAGGTCCCCAGAGGGGAAGTGGAGGCTATGCTGGGGCAGAGAGACCCTTTGGTGAGGGGATCCAGCTCCACATTGGCTCCAGCTCACTCTGCAGAGCTGTGTGGCCAGGCCATCACTCCCTTACCTCCCAAAGCTGGTTACTGTCCTTGCAAGGGCCCAAAGCCAGCAGGAGCAGCTGCCACACTGCCCCGGAAGCCCCCAGGGACTGTGGCTGAGAAGGGACTCCTGGAGGCTATGGCTTCAACCAGGGGAGCAAGGTGCCCCCTCCCAGCTGTGGCCAAGGGGACAGAAGACACAGGAAGGGAGGAGTTAATGTCATACTTGACCCAAGTGTCCCTTGGGCACAAGGCTCCCTTGGCAAGAGCCCTGGAGCCTCCTGATGACAAGGCAATGACTGTGCCCCTGCGGAGCTCTTACCAGCAGGGACGATAGAAGCCGTGGCTCCTTGCCCAGCTTGGTGAGTGCCACGTTGCTGCTGGAGCTCAGGGGCAGGCGCATCTCAGAGGCAACACTCAGCTTGGCTCCTTGGGGATGAGGGGGAGTTTGTCAGCTGGACAGCTGGAGAGGAAGAGGGTTGGCTTGGCTCAGCCTGGTTTCTGTGGCTCCAACACCTGTTGTGAAGAATAGGAGTCGATTATGAAGAACAGGCATGCATTTGGCTCATGGCTCTGCAGGCTGGGAAGTCCCAGAGCCTGGCCGACATCTACTTACCATCTGGTGGTGGCCTTGGTGCTGCGTCATCCTATGCGAAGACAGAGCAGCCGGGCGTCTGCCCAGGTCTCACTTCCTCTTCTTGTAGTCACCAGTCCCACGGCGGTGCCCTCATCTAACCCGAAACAGCTCGCAAAGGCCCAGCTCCAGATACCTTCAATAGATGGATTTGGGATTAAGCTTCCAACAATGAGATTTGGGGCACACAGTCAAACCCCAGCAGCGTCAGGCACAGGGGATGCTGCAAGTGAGGCGCAGAAAGACCGTGGGGCCCCGGATCTGCCCTTGCACAGTCGCCTGATGGGGAGAAAACACAGGCAATAATTTTCACTCATCGGGAGTCACATCCTGCGTGCTGCCGGCATGGAGAGCGGCACACTGGGCAGCAGGAGCGGGGGCAGGCGGGGAGCCAAGAATAAATCAATCTCTGGCCGAGAGACATCCAGTCTGGCTGGGAAACGAGGAGAAAACAAGTAGCTGAAGGTCATGGAATTTTATCCAGAGATGGAAAGTTCCAGAAGACCTGGCCCAAGTCTTTCTTTCTAAACATGGAGACCCAGGAGGTGGCGTGAGGGGATGGCATGGTAGAGCAGTACCACATCAAAGTGCAGGTTCAAATCTCACACCAAGTCCGGCTCCCTGCTAATGGCCTGGGGAGGCAGCCAGGGATGGCCCAAGTACTTGGGCCCCTGCCACTCCTGTGGGAGACCTGAATGGAGTTCCTGGCACCTGGCTACAGCCTGCCCCAGCCCTGGTGGTTGTGCCCATTTGGGAGTGAACCAGCAGATTACAGATCTCCATCTGTCTCTATCTCTCTGTGTCACCCTAAGAGGTAGACGTCTAAGACAGAAGGCCGGCTGGGAGGAGAGCCAGATCAGACTCAGGTCTTCAGAGTTCTGTCCCAAGTTCCTTCCCCTGTGCCAGGTGTGGGTGTCACCATGACAAGGAGGCAAAGGGGAAGACTTGCAGCTGGGTGGCATGGGGGTGAGGCACCTGGAGGCTGGTCCTGGAAGGCCACCAGTGGGTGTGGGACCCGGATATGGGTGAGCCCAGAGGACCTAGACAGAGAGGGCCCAGCTGGAGCCAGGGCTTGGACACTAGCATGAGCCAGTCCCCACACTAACCTTCTAAGAGGCTGATACTTTATTTCTAAGCAATGACAAAATGAGGAGACCTTGAAAGGCCCTGTGGGATCAGAGCCATGGTTGCTTGGTTGCTTGCTTGCTTCCTTCCTCTTTCTCTCTTTCTTGGCAGAGTGACAGAGAGGGAGAGACTGAGAGAATTTCCATCTGCTGCTTCACTTCCCAAATATCTGCAACCACTGGGGCTGGGCCAAGCTGAAGCCAGGAGCCAGGAACTCCATCCCGGTTTCCTATGTGGGTGGCAGGAACCCAAGGACTTGGGCCATCGTCTGCTGCTTTCCCAGACACATTAGCCAGGGGCAGCCAAGAACTTGAACTGGCACTCTGATATGGGATGCTAGTGTCACAGGTTGCGGTTTAACCCACAATGCTGGCCCCAGAGCCATGTTTTTGAGACAACTCTGGGACACACAGTGTGTGGGGTGATGGAGACACAGAGCACAGGGAGGGAGCCCACTGAAACCACAAGATTTGGGTAAAATGAGATGCACGGGATACTGGTGGCTTTGAGGTCATACAAACAAGATGGAAGGACTGGGCAGTGGGAAGAGACTGCTGGGGACCAGCTAAGCACTGCAAGGAGGAGCAAACAGCTCCAACTGAGGACTCCAATTGCCACCCACCCCGTCGCTGGCCCTTCCAAATACGCACCCCCACTCAGGCGCCAGGCCACCCTTCCAGGCAAATGCAGAGTTGATGATTCTGGCTTTGAGAGCTGCCCAGTGCTTTTCCGGCTTGGCTCAAGCCATCCTACCCCTAGAGTATCATCTGTTCATGAACTCCTCTTCCTGCCTGTAAACCCACTCCCCAAGAGTCAGCCCTCATACCCCCCAGTGACGTGACTGCACCAGCCGCTGCCCGTGGCCCTGTGGTGCTCCCAGTCCTGACCAGCTCCATGCTCTTTCCCTACTCTTCTGGGCACATGTAGACTTTTTCCCGCCCCCTGCCTGGTGGGAGCTCTGGGAAATCTGCAGCCTTTGGAGAGAAGAAAGTATGCTGAATAAGAGGCAGAGATGGTTGTCCACACCTGCAGGGTCTGACCGTACTGCCAGCCTGGGTTCACAAATGACTGCAAGGCAGAGTGTTGGGAAGAGATGGGATAGGTAGCAGGTGCAAAACCTATCAGGGCCGGCGCCGCAGCTCAACAGGCTAATCCTCCGCCTTGCGGCGCTGGCACACCAGGTTCTAGTCCCGGTTGGGGCGCCCGATTCTGTCCCAGTTGCCCCTCTTCCAGGCCAGCTCTCTGCTGTGGCTAGGGAGTGCAGTGGAGGATGGCCCAAGTGCTTGGGCCCTGCACCCCATGGGAGACCAGGAGAAGCACCTGGCTCCTGCCTTCAGATCAGCGTGGTGTGCCGGCCGCAGCGTGCTGGTCACGGCGGCCATTGGAGGGTGAACCAACGGCAAGGGAAGACCTTTCTCTCTGTCTCTCTCTCACTGTCCACTCTGCCTGTCAAAAAAAAAAAAAAAAAAAAAACACTATCAAATGAGGAGATTGCTCCTAGCTGAAAGGAGGGGAGGGAGGGGGAGAGAGAGAGGATAGGATGGGTGGGAAGGAGGGAGGGAGGGAGAAGGAAAAAGAAAAACACCCATGAGAGATCAGGTTCAGAACGCTTCCTCTGTAAAGTTGGAGTATATTCAACTTTGCAGGCCAGGCAGCCTCTGTCGCAAACACACAACTACACAACTCAGCCAACGCAACTTGAAAGCACCCGTAGATGATCAATACACAAATATGCCTGGCTGGACTCCCATACGCTTTATTGACAGAAAAAAATGGAGGCCAGATTTGCTGTGTGGGCTGCAGTTTGCCGACTGCTGGTCTAGGGCTGTGTGTTCGTGTCTGCCTTTCTGGTGACTACTGATGGAGGCTCCCGTGTCTGTGAAAGTCCCCGTTAGCCTGCAGATGTCAGAGAAGAGATCATTCCAAAAGATGCTCTGGGGATGTCAGGTTCTAGCCAACCTCTGATCGTATTCTAACACTTACTTACATAGCTCCCCTGAGCTCAAGCAGTTCAGCCTTCAAAGTCTTAGGTTGTTGTTTTAAGATTTATGCACTGGGGGACCGGCGCTGTGGCAAAGCTGGTTAAAGCCCTGGCCTGCAGTGCCGGCATCTCATATGGGCGCTGGATGGAATCCCAGCTGCTCCACTTCTCATCCAACTCTCTGCTGTGGCCTGGGAAAGCGGAAGATGGCCCAAGTCCTTGGGCCCCTGCACCAGTGTGGGAGACCCGGAGGAAGCTCCTGGCTCCTGGCTTCAGATTGGGGCAGCTCCAGCTATTGTGGCCATCTGGGGAGTGAACCAGCAGATGGAAGACCTCTCTCTCTCTCTCTCTCTCTCTCTGCCTCTCCTTCTCTCGCTGTATAACTCTGACTTTCAAATAAATAATAATTTAAAAAATTGTATGTATTGGGCCAGCACTGTGTTGTAGCAGGTAAAGTCCTTGGGCCCTTGCACTCTTGTGGGAGACCCAGAAGAAGCCCTTGGCTCCTGGCTTTGGATCAGCCCAGTCCTGGCCATTGTGGCCATTTGGGGAGTGAACCAGTGAGCGGAAGGTCTCCTTCTCTTTCTCTCTTTCTCTGTAACTCTACCTTTTGGATACATCGATCTTTTTTAAAAAAAGAAAGAGGGATAAGACATCAACATGAGTTCTGCTAAAAATAAAGATGTATTTATTTATTTATTTATTTATTGACAGGCAGAGTGGACAGTGAGAGAGAGAGACAGAGAGAAAGGTCTTCCTTGTGCCGTTGGTTCACCCTCCAATGGCCGCCGCGGCTGGCGCGCTGCGGCCGGCGCACTGCGCTGATCCGATAGCAGGAGCCAGGTACTTCTCCTGGTCTCCCATGGGGTGCAGGGCCCAAGCACTTGGGCCAACCTCCACTGCACTCCCGGTCCACAGCAGAGAGCTGGCCTGGAAGAGGGGCAACCGGGACAGAATCCGGCACCCCGACCGGGACTAGAACCCGGTGTGCCGGCGCCGCAAGGCAGAGGATTAGCCTAGTGAGCCGCGGCGCCGGCCTATGAATTTATTTGAAGGAGAAAGTGACAGGGGAAGAGAGAGAGAGAGAGAGAGAGAGAGAAAGAAAGAGAGGAGAGATACCGTCCATCCACTGGTTCACTTCCCAAATGTCTTCAGCAGCCAGGGCTGGACCAGGTTGAAGCCAGGAGCCAGGAACTCCATCCAGGTCTCCCACACGGGTGGCAAGGACCCAAGTACCTGAGCCATCCCCTGCTGTCTCCCAGGGTGCACATCATCAGGAAGCTGGAAGTGGGAACACAGCCAGGACTTGAACCCAGGCACTCTGATATGGGGCGTGAGCATTGCAAGCAGAGGCTTATCCTGCCATGTCTCAGGGTCTACCACCACTACCCCCCCGCCCTGCCGTGGCTTTATAAGGACAGGAAAAGGAGCAGACACACACATAGACACAGGCGCTCCCGGTCTCCTGCCACGTCTTGTCCTGTGCAGGCTCAGTCTCCTGCCAACGAGGTTGCTGCCAGGTGAGACCCCTGGACCTTGCACATCCACAACCATGAACCAAAATAAACCTTTTTTCTGGATAAATTTAGCGTGCCTCAGCTATTTCCTTATACTAACAGGAAACTGACACACCCTGTTATCGTAACTCTGTTCTCCAAATTCCCCCCGGGGCCAGCTTCACTATCCTGCTGATTCCCTCATTACAGAGATAAGTAAGCCTCCAACCATGTCTGTCTTTAAAAACAAAAACTCTCAGTAAGAGACTGAAATGGGAGATGATCAGGGAAGGCTTCTTGGAGACAGCAGCATTTGAGAAGGGCTGGAAGGCTGCGAAGGTGGGCTGGCCTGGAGGACAGGCGCAGGTGCTCCAGGGCGGCTTGGGGCTGGAACAGGACATGAGTACGTCCAGCGGAGACCCTCCTCCAGGGGACAGCGGCTCAGGGACCACAGTCCATTCCCACAGCCCCGCGTGGTCTCCTGCCTGGGGTCTGCCTTACTCAGGGCTGACGGGGAGGCAGCCGAGGGAGGTGGCACTCGGAGGGCAGGGAAGAGGGGTGGGCTCACAGCTGCAGCACCACTGCCCTCTGTGTGGTCCTCAGTACACCGCTGGGCCTCTGGACAGCTTGTCCTCTTCTGCAGATGAAGTGAATGATAACTGTGGAACTCACAGACTCAAGGCCCCTGGGTGGGGGGCTCACTTTCCCAGGTCAATCCCCCAGCTTTGTGCCCCCGCCCTAAGCCACCCTGGCTTAGGCTGTGCTTCAGCCACCTGCTCCCCACTGGAGACAGGTGGCTCCGAGGCACCCAGAAGGAACCTGGCCACTTTGATGATCGTTCCCTGGTTCTGGCCACAAACAACGGCTGAGGCCTGATGCAATATTTTCCCAGGTAACTGCACAGAGTGCAGGGAAGGCAGGACAGCCCCATTGCGCGGGCGGTCACGCTGCAGTTCAGAGGGCACGGAGACACAGTCACCCACCACGTCATCAGTCAGGACGGGGCCTGAGCGCCGCGCCCTGGGCTGTTATGAGCACAGCCTCCCCCTCCTCCTAGCAGCTTCTGAGTCCAGGGGGCTGTGCAGAGGCCCCGGGGGCAGTACTAGGTGCGTGTCATCACACGGATGACGGCTGTAAGTCAAACAGCCTCCTCGGCCACTTCGAGTCTGTGCCAATACAATTCTGACGAGTCTGGGGTGGGGGTGGGGGTGGGGATGAAGCCCTTACACCTGACACCTCCACAACCACGAATCCAAATCGACTTCTCCGAGAGGCAGCTGCGTCTCCAGCTGTGCGGACGGAGCCCAGACAGCAGCGCTGCGTCCACCCGATAGCCCTGGACGTCCCCTCTGCCCACTCACATTCTGATTCGCTGGCCCTGGTGGTACCACAAGCTGAGCTCCGAAGGGAACGCTGGTCCCGCCTGTGACGGGGACTTGTTGATTTGTTCCTTGGGCTTCCTGCCAATCAAGGCTAACTCCCAGACACCCAAAGCCCCCCTCTAGGCAGGCTCGGCCCCTGGCCGTCTGCCACTCCAAGGACGTGAACTTAGGTCCCTGAGCCATTTATCGGGCTGCGGGGCCGCGTCACAAAGGACACACGAGCAGCCAGGGAGGTCACCGCAACGCTGGGCTTGCAACGGGCTGCCCAGCCTTGCTCCAAGCCTGGGGGATTAGGCAAGAGTCCCGCGGCTCTTCCCGGCGGCTTCTGACGGCTGCCCCTTCCGAGAGGGCGAGTATGGCAGCAACGTGGGCTTCTCGCCATCCCACAAACATTCCACAGCCCCTTTTACGGCCCTGGCATTCATGGAAAATCCCTGCAAATCCTTCTGAAGGTTTCCTTAAGAAACAACTCATGACAGGGCAGGCATTTGGCCTAGCAGTTAAGACACCCACGTCCCACATCCAAGGGCCTGGATCTGGTTTCTGGCTCGGGCTCCTAACTCCAGCTTCCTGCTGATGCACACCCTGGGAGGCAGCATGCGATGGCTCAACTAATTGGGTCCCAGCCACCCACGTGGGAGATCTGGATGGAGTTGCCAGCTTTGAACTTTAGCTGCTGTGGGCATTTGGAAAGTGAACCAGTGGATGGAAACTATCTTGCTGTCTCTGTCAAATAAATAAATAAACACACTTGATCTTGGCCAAAAGGCTGAGAAGCAATGGCAAATAAGTTATTTATTTATTTATTTATTTATTTAAAGATCTATTTTATGTAATTGAAAGACAGAGTTACAGAGAGAGGTAGAGACAGAGAGAGGTCTTCCTTCCATTAGTTCACTCCCCAGATGGCCTCAACAGCCGGAGCTGAACCTATCCGAAGCCAGGAACCAGGAGCTTCTTCCAGGTCTCCCACGTGGGTGCAGGGGCCCAAGGACTTGGTTCATCTTCTACTGCTTTCCCAGGCCATAACAGAGAGCTTAATCAGAAGAAGAGCAGCCGGGACTAGAACTGATACCCATATGGGATGCTGGCGCTTCAGGCCAGGGCTTTAACCCACTGCGCCACCGCACCAGCCCCAGTAAATAAATAATTTAAACAAGCAAAACAAATCATGAGATGGCAACTCCACTCATATTTATATATATTTTATATATATATAAACACACACACACATACACACATGAAAGAAACGAATATGTATGCCCACGAAACATATGTAGAACAGTCAGGGTGGGGCAAGTATTGTGGGACAGCCCATTAGGCTGAGGCTTGGGACACCCACTTCCCATATTAGACTGTCTGGTTCAAGTTCTGGTTATTCTATACTTCTGATCCAGCTTCCTGCTAATGTGCATGGCAAGCAGCAGATGTTGGCCAAGTAGTTGGGTTCCTGCCACCTACATGGAAGACCAGGATGGAGTTTCTGGCTCTGGCTTCAGCTTGGTCCAGCTCTGGCTATTTGGGCATTTGGGGGAGTGAACCAGTGGATGGAAGATCTTTCCCCCACCCCCATCATTTGGTCTTTAAAATAAATAAATAATTTTTTTTAAAAAAAGTTCAGGACAACTTAATGCATAATTGCCCCAAACTGAAAACATGTCGGGGCTGGTGCTGTTGCATAGCGGGTAAAGCCACTGCCTGCAGGGCTGGCATCCCATATGAGTGCTGGTTCAAGTCCTGGCTGCTCCATTTCTGATCCAGCTCTCTGCTATGGCCTGGGAAAGGAGTGGACGATGGCTCAAGGGCTTGGGCCCCTGCACCCACGTGGGAGACCTGGAAGAAGTTCCTGTCCCCTGGCTTTGGATCAGCTCAGCTCCAGCCATTGCAGCCATTTGGGGAGTGAACCAGTGGATGGAAGACTTTTTTCTCTGTCTCTCCCTCTCTCTATCTATAACTCTGTCTCTCAAATAAATACATAAAAATTTTTAAAAAGCAGTATAGGGAAATTTCAGGGTGTTAGAAATGCTCTTTGTCTGGGTGGTGATTGCGTAAGGGTAAGTGTGTAAGAGCGAGCGAGCGACAGAGAAAGAGAGAATGTGTACTTGCACAGCTGTATAAAAATCCTTCAAGTTGTACATGTAAGATTTTTGCACTGTATGTATCTTACGCTAAATTAAAAAGACCACATTCAAAATGTGTCTTTTTGTAAAAATGACTTATTTCTTTCTGTATTTCTTTCTGTATTTATTTCTCTGCAGTGGCAGAGAAAGAGAGGGATCTTGCAGCCTCAGGTTCACTCCCTACACGCCCTTAACAGTCATCTGGGTCTCCCACATGCGTGGCAGGGGCTCAGGGACTTCCCAGGTGCATCAGCAGGAAGCTGGATTGGAAGTGGAGCTGCTAAGACTTGAAGCAGTGCTCCAACAGGCAATGCAGGTGTCCTGAGCGACAGCTTAACCCACCGTGCCACAAAGCCCACCCCTCAAAATCCGCCCTTTAAGATACACATCTCAACTTCTCTTTTCCGACCAGTTGAAGCATCCTTGCAATCTCTCGCCTTCTCCTTTGGCCGGATGCTGGCTTGGCCAGCTCCATAACTGGCTCTTCAGAGATTTCCCAGTCTGAAGCATGTACAGCTCTGAACTGCTGCCCCCCTGACCTGCCCACGGAAGCAGCTTCTTCTCTTTGCCTTCGGTCCCCTTAACCTCAACCCCAGATAAAATGCCAGGGCCAAAAATAGAAGGGGAAGGTGCATCCTGAGCAGGGACCTGGTGTGAGAACTTGAGAAGAGCTGTGGCAGAAAACGTCTGGGAGCCTGCAGGCTACACGGGTAACTGTGGTTACCGCTGTAGAGAAGATGGTAAGGGGGCATTCAGGGCTGCAGAACAGCTCGAGTTTTAAAACAAATATCGGGGCCGGCACTGTGACATAGTGGGTAACGCTGCCACCTGCAGTGCCGGCATCCCATATGGGCGCCGGTTTGAGTCCCGGTTGCTCCTCTTCCAGTCCAGCTCTCTGCTGTGGCCTGGGAAGGCAGTAGAAGATGGCCCAAGTCCTTAGCACTAAAAAGGAAGACCTAGAAGAAGCTCCTGGCTCGTGGCTTCATATCTGCACAGCTCCAGCCATTGCAGCTATCTTGGGAGTGAACCAGTGGATGGAAGACCTCTCTCTCTCTGACTCTGCCTCTCTATAACTCTGCCTTTCAAATGAATAAATAAATCTTTTTTTTTTTAAATAAAATGAACATAAAGTCACTGAACTATTTCTGTCTTCAGAAGTTACAGGCCATATTCCCAAGCCCATACAGGGCAACCTTCTCGGCTGGTGATGATGGAGTGAGGGCAAGGAGGGAGGAAGTGCCGTAACAGACACCACACACGGCTACAAATGCTGGCCAGCCCCTCTGCTTACCAGAGCTGGCTCTAATCACAGCTACCCAATGCTGGCCAGCCCCTCTGCTTACCAGAGCTGGCTCTGTACAGAATGCAGCCTGCAATCACAGTTGAGTGCTCATCACTGATAATTTCATATTGTTTTCCTACTGGAGGAGCACCAGTGGATCTTCCAAGATACCTAATGTATTAGCTCAGGCTGCCATAACAAAATACCTGGACTGGTGGCTTAACAGAAATTTCTTTTCTTTTTTAGATTTATTTATTTATTTGAAAGGCAGAGTTACAGAGCGAGAGGGAGAGAAAGAGAGAATGAGATCCTCCATCTGTTGGTTGACTCCCCAAATGGCTACAGCAGCCAGGGCTGAGCCAGATGGCAGCCAGGAGCTTCTTCCAGGTCTCCCACAAGCGTGCAGGGGCCCAAGCACTTGGGCCATCCTCTGCCGACATCCTAGGCGCATCAGCAGGGATCTGGCTTAGAATTGGAGCAGCCGAGACTCGAACTGGTGCATATGTGGCATGCCATGCCACGATGCCGGCCCTTATTTTTTCTTAAGATTTATTTTATTTAATTGAGGCGGCGGGGGGAGAGATGTCTTCCATCTGGGAGTTCGCTCCCCCAAATGGCCCCAACAGCCAGGAACTTGAAAATGCATCCAGGTCTCCCATGGGAGGGGCAGGGGCCCAAGTATTTGGGCCGCCTTCTGCTGCTTTCCCAGGCGCATTAGCAGGAAGCTCTATCAGAAGTAGATCAGCAGAGATTGTAACCAGCACTCCAATATGGAATGCATGTGTTACAGATGGTGTAACCCTCTGTACCATGACGCCAGCCCCAGAATTTGTTTTCTCACAGTTCTGGAACCTGCAAGTCCAAGTTCAGGGTGCTGGCAAGGCCAGATGGAGGCTCACTTACTGGCTTCCATACAGGGACCACCTGCTTGCTGTGCGTTCCAATGGGAGCGGCGTGTCTTCTTGAGAGGGCACTGACCCTATTGGACCAAGGCCCCACTCCTGTGACCTAGATGGGTTCCAAAGACGCCATCCCCAAATGCCATCACACTGGGGTTAGTTCTTCAACTTGAAAATTCGCATGGTGGGGCCACAAACCCTCAATCTGTAACATGTAATGCTTCCTAGACACGCAACAGCATTGCAAACCCTTTTCCATTTTGGGCTGCTTCTTCTGAATGTTACTTTATTCCATCAACAGATCCTTGTGGAGCATTTCTTATGTTCTAGGATCTCAGGATACAGCAGCGGAGGACAAAAATCCCCGTCCAAAGGGATTCTCCTTCAAGGCTGGAGGCCCCAACCTCAGGCCTTGGTTTACCTGTCTTGTTTTAATGTCTTTTCCCGCCTCTGGTGGTTGCACTCCGTCCTATGGCTGCAGGTGACAGTGTTATTGCGAAGACTCTCACCCTTCAATTTCCAGGCCCCGATCTCTCTCTGCTAGGGTTTGAAGGTGTCCCTGAGAAATTCCGGTGTTGAAACTTGATGGCAAATGTGACAGAATTAAGGGGTGGGGCTTGTAAGCGCTGACCAGGCCACGAGGGCTCCTCCCTGGGGAACAGGATAGAAACATCACGCAGCAGTTGGCTCGCTGGCCCTCCTGCCTTCCCCCATGAGGAGGCAGCCTCCCTTTCATCTGGGCAGCGGAAAGCAGCCGTCCCCAGACAGCGGATCCTGCGGGTGCCTCCGTCTTGGACTTCCCATCCTTGAGAAGAGTAAGAACTAAGTTCCTGTTCTTCATAGATTGTCCAGTCTCGGGTACTTTGTGGTCAGCCCGCCTCCATCACGAGTCTCTCTGTGGCTCTCACTCAGGGGTTGTGTGTGAACAAGGCAGCCACGGTGGCCACGAGTGGGGCCGCACACGAGTTCTCCCCCTCTACTGCCACTGCTGAATGTCTCCTGTTAGCAGACAGGCATGCACAAGCCAGCTGCCGCTGGCTTGAGAGAGCGAATTACTCAATTTTCAGGAATTTGGGGAGACAGCTGAGGTCATGATGGGAGCCTGAGATTGGCCAAGGTGGAGGTGTTTACCCCTCGGAAATCAGCAAATGCTACATGAGGGCTCCTACCCCACCCTGCCACCCACCCCCCCCAGAGGAAGCTGTTAAAATTATTAACTTCCACTGAGTAGAGACTGATGCTGGAGGACACGTGGGGACAAGTTGATTATATTGGAATCGAAATGCTTAGCAATTCATCCAATTCATCTTGACTGTAATGAACAGTTTTTCCTACCCACAGTCTCTGCCAGCACCGTTATCTGAGGATTCGCAGTGTTGGATTGGTTGACATGACACCTGCATTATCTAGCATGGGACTAAGGCATGTTCGTTTGAAAAAAACATAAGTGTAGCAATAGGCACATGACCATGGGATCCACTGGCCCCATCCCACAGGGCGCCACATAGACACTGCCAGCCAGCCAGAGTCACGGCACAGCCTTTTGAAGGTACAGTTGAGGCACCAGCTTGTGGGCAACACATACCCTAAGTCAGTGACCTGT